CCTTTCGATTTATAGAAGTGGGTTGACCTCGTCGCAACTTGGTCTTGTTTTCAGGGAGACTATGTAGAACTCACCTAGTCCGAAGTCGTCTGCCATAGTAGTTGTCATCATTCCCAGCATCAGACTGTGGAATTGATACATTCTCAAACGTTTCGCCGGCATCGTAGTTGCCATTCTCCGCGCCAAGATATGAACTCGTCAGAGATAAGTGAAGTCAATCCCTTGACAACCGTTCTGCTGGAAACGGTTACACTACCACTCCTCTTTCTCTCATTGTCTATCTATCTACTCTTAGGGCGGCAGTGGGATAAGAGGATAAAGAGTAGATAGATAGACAATGAGAGAAAGAGGAGTGATAGTGTAACCGTTTCCAGCAGAACGATCGTCGAGAGATTGACAAGGCTCGCTGATGATGCCGACTACGATGCCGGCGAAAGTCTGAGAATGTATCAAGTCCACTGTCTCTTACTAAGAAGTCAAGACAACTACTATGGCAGACGACTTCGGACTCGGTGCGTTCTACATAGTCTCCCTGAACACAAGACCAAGTTGCGACAACGAAGTCAAACCACTTCTAATAAGTGAAGTATCCTTACTGGCATCGATTTCATAACTCCTACATTGGTCACATACGTATGACGGGGGGTTTGGTATTTATCTCTGAATTCATTGGTCTGTCACTTTGTTCATCAAGTGAATATGGAATCGTTTATGATTTGGCGTGACTCGACATTTATTTTTAAAGGTGAAGCAACGTTATGCTTGAAATGAGAAATCGAGTCACACCGTATTTGTACTTCACTTTAGGCCATTATTCGTTTAAACAAACTTCATGTCAGTTTCTTTGGGTTCAATAATTACGTCTAACCGAACGACCAAAAGCGGGAAAGCAGCAGAGTTTAATGTCACCTTCTTACCGGGTCCGGAAGTTTTGCGATCGCATGCGACGAGTTTTCGAGACCCGCCTCTCCGTCAGACTCGGGCCAGGCCTTGAGGCAGTCCCAAGACGTAGACATTGAGGCGCTGGGGCTCAAGTTTGAGGCCAGATTGCCGACAGTGTGATCCATCTCAAAAACGCCGACGGTCCGTTTGTAACCGTCCATCTCGACCACCATGTCTCGTTCATCGCCGTCCGGCCCAGCTTCCTCCTCTTCTCCCTCCTCTTCGCCTCGAAACCCGCCCACTCCGCTGTCCTCATCCTCGGCAGACCTGATGACCAAAGCCTCTCTTCTGTTGTCAGTCTGCATAAAATCGTCGTCGTCGTCGTCGTCATCAGCATCGGCATCAGCAGCATCATCAGCATCGGCATCGTCATTGTCGTCTTCATCTGCCTCCTCCTCCTCCTCCTCTTCCGCCTGAAAGCTCGCCTCTCCTTCGAGCTCAACGTCCACCTCCAAGTCCTGCTCAACCGCCTCGCCAACAGACCGAAACAGCCCGAACGGTGAGCCGGTTGTATCGAGGCCCGGTTCGGAGTCCTCGACGAAACCTTCGTCGGAGGCCTGAGCGCCTCGAGAAGCACCGCCTCCCGAGTGCCGACGGATGCGGGACTCGCGACGGTAGAACTGCGCGGCCGAAAGAGAGCCGGATCCAGGCGACGCCACAGCCGCCGGGCCGGACTCGAACCTCAAAGTTGGGAAGAAGAGGTGTAGATAATCGCAAGCAGTAACGCCGTTCAGGTCACCGTTCAACTTTTGCGTGACAATCTTCTCCAAACGCAAGAGATCACCGGAGTTGCCACCGCATGGCACGCATTGCACCAACAGATCGGGTGTCGGACAGTTCGAGACCTGAGTTGCCAGGGCAGTGGTAGAAAAGGGCGAAAAGGGGAGACAGAGTTGACAGTCCGAGGCGGGAGAAGAAAAAGTTTGCACCCTTCCACAGTCACTGGGCGGCCGATTTTGTGAGCAGAAAAAGCCGCCGAAAAAACCTCCGAGACGGGGCCACGGTCGTCAACCGAACGGTTCGTTGCTGAGCTTGACGGTTTGTGTGACATTCTACAAATCTGACAGA